CCACTATCCACAGTGCGACTGTCAATCTTCCTCATGGCAATGCTGAACGCGCGTGATTGGAGAATGTCATGATTTGCTAGGCGGTCCACGAGCTATATTGTAGTAGACATACAACAAATTAGGCGTGCAAGTCATCTTTCACTTCACGGCAATATACAATCTCAAAAACACTCCTTTTAAATTTAAAATAATGATAATAAAATATTGTCTAAAACCATACCTCAGCCTTAGTTCCTCCAGGCCTGAGATTTCTCCTCTCGCACTCAGCGCGCAGATCACCTAGGGTGCGCGAGCGGTAGATGGCGTTGGCATCCGGGCCGCGGGCGGGTTGTCCGGAGAAAGCTCCGGTGATGTGCAATGAGCGGCGGAAAGGGGCCATGCTGGCCAGGGCTGAGGGCTCTGGCGCATGTTGTTTGGCTAGCAAGCGCAGGGCACGGATGGAGGTTGATCGTGGGGCTGCCATTCTGTGATTTTGTTCGCGTTTGCTTGAGCTGCTGTTTGGTTGAGGTGTTCGTGATGTGGAGCAATGTGGAGCTTAAACCCGGTAGAAGAAGACAGGTGGATTTGTCGAGTTGGGGTGGGGTACGAATGTTTGTGTTTATGCCACTGGGAATTGGGGTGATACAGCGCAGGAATTGGATGAGAGTGGGAGAGACTGAGGTGCTGGACCTTCTGACAGTTAATGTTAAAGGAAATCCTCGGCAAACAATTGATTTGTTGAGAAAACGCAAAAAGCAATTATGGGGTGTTGGGGTATTAAGAGACCTCAAGAGTCAACTCTTATCGAAGGGTTGGCAATTTAAAAGTGATACCTCTTCCCAGCCATGACCCACCGCTAAAAAGTAGTCAGTCACCTATTCAGAATCACGCATGGTGCATACACAACTTCAGATACAAAATTCAAGTGCTCTCTCCTCCGTATGCTCACTCTAGTTCTACACTCTATTTTAATTGAATAGAGCAGCTACGGCGTAATTACAACCCAATCTTTAGATCCTCAACATAGTCAGCACAGTGCTAATGTGTATGTTGCAGAAGCCATTCGCTGGTGTTGAAGTCTTCGGAACATTGCAACCAAGAATGATGATTTGGAGAGTTGCGAATATGTTGTGCCTATCTCTATAGTCCTGAACATCTCCTAGAATCAGTCACATCATGAGTGATAGGCACTCTGTCTGCAGTGATTCCACAGTCTCAATTCAGTTTCAAAATTTTCATACACAGCCCACATTCATATCTGCTGGCATTACAAAAACAGATGTTTTCGTTACAGCTGACGATTCGTGAAGATCTTAGAACAAATAGAGGATTTGACGAAGATGATATTAACTGAAAACGATTATCGAAGCGAATCAAGGGAAGGTTGATGGAAAGCTATATTTTGTGGTTGCACTGATTTGATTGATGTCAATACCAAAAAATTCCAGTTCTGAAATTTCTTCAATTATAACTAGTCATGCGTGCATGCAAATTTTCAGCAATCCGTCCTCGCAATAGGGCTGTCTTCTGCATGTAGAATGATCTCTAATACAAACTTTCCGTAAGCCCAAATGTCATTCGATTCACGCACTTAATTCGGGATTTCATCAGGTGATATCTCATCTTGAATCTCTGGGGAACGTAACACATGTATGACTCCACCAACGCTCTGATGTCGAAAGCACACTGCGTTTCCAATCCCATTAAGAACAACGTTCGAAGGTTTAATACCCATGTGGGTTTCCCAAGCGCCATGAAAAAGGCTTAATGCAGTGGCGATTGCTTTGCCCACCGCTCCCCAGGATTTATTCGAGCATGCGAAGTTCACTAAAGGCTCTCTGTATAGAGCCACCCCCTGTAGAATTACAACATAATTCCAGTGACTATCAGAGGTTGGACCGACGTGTTTATACGTCATATGACGCGGTGAAGACAAAGCCGATGTTGTCCTATTGGCCAAGGCCAAGAAGCCTGAAATAAATTCAAAAAAGTATGCTCTGTAATACTTAGGAAAGACGAATCAAGGGATTCAAATAGTAATGCTAGGAATATATAATCTAGTTGCAAAGTACAAAATATATATAGATAGAATAAACCCAAAGACACCCTCTAGTCTGAGACCTCATCTAGTTCTATACACGTGCGCAGTTAAAAATAAGTCTCCATAGATTCGACCTGCCTGCACCTCCATTCTACAATTTTGACGGCGGACCAGTCCGTCCAGAGCCACGGGAGACAGATCGAGCATACGGGTGCGAAGCGGAATTAGGAATAAGGTGATCGATATCGGCTGTATTGACGAGTTCTGGGCGCGCTTCATCCAGTGACGTGATTCCCACCAGTCTCATGGCACCTTCGAGTTCATCTTTCATGACTGTTTTGAGAATATTAGTTAAACAATCACTGTATAAATAGCGCGTGGTAGGCAATATAGCGAACGGGAAAAACTTACTATCAAACAAATGCTCCACGCCCTCCTGCCCATAGTTCGTAGCGAATAGCACACTTCTGCCCATCCCCACCGCCGTCGCTCCAAGGCAAACAGCTTTCAAAATATCTGAACCCCGCCTTATGCCGCCGTCCAAATAGATCTCCATCTTATCAAAGATCTCCGGACAGCGCTTATGCAACTCCAACAGCGTAAGAAGCGCCGGCGGGCTGGTATCCAAATTGCGACCTCCATGGTTACTAAGCAGAATCCCATCGAGGCCCGCCTTCATCGCCAACATCGCATCATCAGCAGACATCACTCCCTTAAGTATAAGGGGTAAATGCGTATGTTTGCGCGCCCACACCAGATCCTCCCACGAAAGCGACGGGTCGATGAATCCAGACATCGACCGGGCCAAGCCGCCACCGTGTGAGTCGTTACGCGCCCACTGCTCTGACATGGGGACGCTAATACTTTCATCCGCACGCACCCTTTCGTCCGCCTCGCGCTTGCCGGGCCATGCGGCATCAACGGTGATGAATACAGCGCGTATGCGCGGGTCTTCGGAGCACTCATGCAGATGTGCAGCGGACTTGGGGCGGTCCTTGTTGACATAGAGCTGGAAAAAGTAGTTTGCCTGTGGGCCTGCGGCAGTGATGTCTTTCATGGAGTAGCTGGCGCTGTTTGAGATACCCTGGATGATGAGCCTGGACTCGCAAGCGCGGGCGATGGCGAGCTCGCCGTCCGGGTGGATGAGTTTGGCCATTGCGGCGGGGCTGACGAAGAGGGGCATGCTGCTGTCGCATCCCAGGATTTTGGTATTGGTGTTTACATTCCGAACTTTGCGGAGGACACGGGGGCGGAACCAGGTGCGGTCGAAGAAGGATTTGTTGGCGTCACGGGTGATGAGGTCGTTGGAGGCGCTGGAGTAGAAGGCCCATGTCTTTGCGGTGGCGGTTTTGGAGGCGATGACTTCAAAGTCGTGCGCATTTATGAGGGTGGTTAGAGGGGGCTTTTCGTTGGATGATGAGGTGCGTTTTATGTTTTGTTCTGGGGGTTCTTTGAGCCATTCATCGTCGATGGTGTTTTCGTCAATAAACCCCTTGAGTCTTTCAGGGGGCAGGTTATTCTGGATAAGACTTGGGGGATGGATTTCTGAGTATGCTTTTGTTGCATCTCGTCCAGCATATTTGAGGATGACTACCGAGGACAATTAGTAAGGTTCGCACCGTACAGCACAAAAAAAAAAAAAAAAAAATACGGTGAATAATTGAACACATACTGTTCGGTCCTCCAGGATGCTCGGAGAGAAAATCAGTCACATCCCAAACCTGGTTTTCAACAGCAATCCAGCAATCGTTGGACATGTTATGTGCACCAACTTCCCGTGTAGAGATAGTTTGCCGGTGAAATTTTGACATGGTTGATAGAATTATATTTCCTCTTTCTTTTGTTTCAGCCAAAGCTTAGGACGGTCTTCCTCGTTTAACCAGTGCGATATAGACAGGCCCCTTGAAAACTCAGCATATAAAAAATCAATAAAATGAAGAACAGTCAGTCAAGCCACAGAATACGGAAATCGAATTGTAACTCGTGAGTGCTGTACAACTGCCGTGATTTAGCAATTTATCATTGCCCTGGGATATAGCCAATGATATAAGAAGACGGTGCAGTCACCCGCTCTCAGCATAAATTACAAATAATCAAATATGGACCATCCAAATGGAGGGAGTTGTTCTATCAATGATTCATCCTATCAATAATGGACACGAGGTTGAGGTGATATTTTAACCGTACGCCATGAGAGCCGATAGCTTAGCCGATGAAAGCTTGTCAGGATAGGCTAGGGGGCTGACGCCCAGAATGCCAGGAGGGAATTAGTCGACATTATTAATTCCAATGGACTGGGGAAACCTGCAGCCACCAAACAAACTGTTCGTGATAATGACACCGGGTGTCAGGAATTAAGGAGAAAAACCCCGTAATCCTTCTGCTCCGGGTTTACGGGTCGATCCATATTAATAAGGGATCCGTGGCCGTGGAAGTAGTGGAACAATGGGAACTATAGTCCGTTTGACCGCTAGTAATTGGGGTAAAAATGGCTTAATTCCAACGCCAGCCGCTTCGGAAATACTATTTCCCGCACTATCATTTTAACCACGTCGAATAACTGACGAGTTATCAACTCGTTGCTTGTATAATTACGGGAGACAACCATTGCAACAATATCAACAACCTTCGAGAATTCGGGGGCAAATGATACATCCTTACACCCTGAGAGCCTCTTGTATCAGGTTAATTTATCCTGCAAATTTTCACTTCTATACATCCATCTTACCGTACAGAGTGTTTTCGTCGTCAAGTTTTTATAGAGCTTCCCTTCCTCAAGGTAAGGTGACGTCGCAGCCTCCTTTTCATGTTATATTCCTAACGGACCTTCATGGACTTATGAAATTGTACTTATTCACGTGTCTGTATTCATGTAGTCCATCAGCATTCGTTGTCACACAATGGTTCATTAGGGAGGAGTATAAAATCTAGCTTTCCGCAAAGCCATAGAACCGCGAGCAGTCAAAGCACTCTATCCAGAATGGGAGAATCCAGCAAACTGCTGCGATACGCTGACGTAGGTTCGCAACAGCCAAGCCTGATCTGCGTAACTAGCTTAAGTCGTTTAACACGTTATATCGATCGACGTCTTTGGGTAAAAAGGGCTGCTAAGTTCCTTTGTTAAACAGGTAGCAATAAACCTAGGTGACCCAGTATTCACCGGTGTCTATCACGGGAGGAAAATCCACGAGGACGACTTGGATGATATAATCCAGCGGGCACTGGATGTCGGTTGTCAGAAACTCATGGTCACAGGCTCTGACCTGGACGAGTCGCGACATGCTGTAGCAATTGCTAAAGCTCATCGTAAGCAGCTGCTGGGGTGCATCCCCAATCTTACAAACTACATTAGTATGAATTCAGTAGTCTCTCTAACCTGTAAATAAACCTTTAGCTGGCATCTGCTATGCCACCGTCGGCGTGCATCCCTGCCAAGCAAAACTCTTCGAGCATTACCCCGGAGGCACGGAGAAGATGCTACAGGAGCTGCGAACCCTAGCGCTGGAAGCTAAAGAATCCGGCCATGCCACGGCCTTTGGTGAGATAGGTCTGGACTACGACCGTCTCTTCCTCTCGCCCAAGGAGCCACAGTTGAAATATTTCGAGGCACAGCTGGATATTGCAGTTGAGATCCAATTACCCTTATTCCTACATTCCAGAGCCGCGAGCGAGGACTTTGAGCGGTTGCTTGCTCCGCGACTCGCGAAGTTGCCAAAGGGAGGCCTTGTTCATAGTTTTACTGGAACTATGGAGGAGATGGAGAGATTGGTTGAATTGGGGCTGGATATTGGCGTGAATGGGTGTAGCCTTAAGACAGAAGAGAATTTAGAGGTTGTTAAGGCTATGCCGCTTGAGCGGATGCAACTTGAAACTGATGGGCCGTGGGTTTGTATTGCTCTGCGCTGTCGTTCTTTTCTTTTTGCGAGTGATACATCTGTTGACTAATTATACAGTGCGAAATTCGGCCATCACATGCCTCGTTTAAATACCTCGAAGGCGCCCCAGCACTACCCAAGTCATTTAAAAAGGAGAAATGGCAAAAGGGGTGTATGGTAAAAGGCCGCAATGAACCTGTGACCATTTGCCAGGTTGCACAGGTAGTTGCGAAAATAAAGGGTATCCCCGTTGAGGAGGTTTGCGAAACGTAAGTTATTTTTTTTATTATTTATTTATTTTTATTTTTATTTTATTTTTTTGTTTTTTCTTTCACAATATCATTATTGTGGGTTGGGCCTTCTCTTGTTAATGGGAATAATGTTTTTCGATATAGTACGTGGAACAATTCGGTGAAGATGTTTGGTCTGGGAGAAAACATCTCTTGAGAAAACATTTGAAAACGAACGATCTATAGATCCACGATACCCCTGACGTGTTGCTTCGATATCCTTCGACATATCATTTTAGAATAGAGTGTGCATTTTTAGTTTACGTCCCTGGAGTTGGATCTTTTTTGTTTAACCCAACCTCGTCATATAGAGACATGGAACTGGAAACCGTTGTATAAAAATTGGGTTTGTCCTGGTTGCCTCTTCCGTCATACCAGAAAAAGCAAGTAATTGCTTTTTGTGATTCCCTTGCAGTTGAAAAGCCATCCGCATTCCTTCGTTTATTTATTTATCCAGTCGGCTGCAAGCCTTCCCCACCTTTACCAGGATTTTGGCAACCTTATCAAGTTTGCACGCCCGTAGGTAGCCGTCATAGGTTGATGCAACAATTAAAATGCAATGGCGTTATTTTAAAACGATTCCATAATACTGCTAATAATAGCAGATGGTCTGATACTGTATGATTCTAACACAACATATCTCTTGCTTATTCGTCGCCTTTTTTGCAATTTTCCAAGGGTTCTGCCACTATTTCTATTGGTCTGTTGTGGGAGATCATTATTACAGTCATATGAATGGATGGTTTATATCCTGTCGTCGTAGTGCTAACTCGTTTCAAACAAGACAATATAACGGTTTAAAGACGGGGGTAACTAATATTACTAGAAGGCAAGTTACATAGCCAAAGACTATGCCACAGCCCATGGGATGCGCTGACACCACGTGACGGTAGCTAGAGTTCCAAGATCCTTTATCCATGGAAACCAGCAGGGCCGGGTCCGGAATATCCTATTCCGCCCGAGCTTGGTGTTCGTTGGAGCTGTTCCATCATTTCCACGGTTACGCGTGAACCGACACAACTTCAACTTCACTTCATCCGACTATCTTCAACCTCGAAACCTCCCGTCAGCTTCACTCTGCAGCTCTCTTCCTTTTGGCCCCTTCATCACTGCATCAGGAGCAACCCCCCCCCCCGAGTTCCCACGAAGCTTGCCCTCGTCATAACCACCTCCGTTACCATGGATCCCCAACGAATGCTCTATCAGTCCTCGTGTAATGTCGACGGATAGCGTTTGACTTGCTACCTCGACACTGCCCATATAGGTAGACCTCAAACAGCGTTGTTTGCTCCAGGAACTCTCGGCTTCTCTCTCCAGAGAAACTCTTTTAAGGCCCATCTATATTGGATTCCACGACCCAAGTTCTAGTCATGTTGTTAACATAGGACTCCGTTTTAAACACTCCTACGTGGGAGAGGCAGCTTTCCTCCCCCATCTTTCCTCACACTGTTTCTTTTCTTACGCTCCTCCTCCTTTTCGCTTCTCCCCTATTTCTACACTTTTTCCCTACCTCATTTTCTCTATCCCCCCCCCCGGATATATCCCACTTATATCTCTTCAATCCCGACGAGAAATTTTCTTTAACATCAGATCTACACACGCCAAGAGTGCCGTCCAGAAATAGTTCCCAGATCGAGCTATCAACTCCTGGCCCTAGTCCCTGATATGCCGTTGTAACTCTCCAACTTTACTTATTTTTTATTCTATCGTCCTCGTCTTGCCCGGGGCCCCCGAGTCCTCTGACGGGACGATTCTTTCCCCTTCTCCGCCTTTCCCGCTCCCCCGGAACCCTTCATAACCACAGCGGTTTTCTCATGGCGAAATCCGCTCACGGGACTATGCCCGCTCAGTCCTCCTGTTACAAAATGCCCGATCTGGCTCCCTCAACTCCCTTGGACATTGTAATCAAAGACGAAAAGCAAGGTATGCCTCCCTCTATGCAGTTAAGGTTATCCACTATCCACTATACCTCCATTTTTTTGCGTTTGATAATATATATATATATATATATATATATTTTGATATACGTGTTTGATGGAGACTTGAGTGGCCAACTCTCTTGCTCAACAAAACCATCTATGTATTTCCTTGGCATTTTTATCTAACTAGAGACCGTCCATCGCAACAGAAAATGGGTATCTCACTAGTGGTTTTGAAAGCGGACCAAGCCGTCCACCAACGCCGCACGGAGCCGGCCTACCCGACAACTTCGCGGAAATAGTTAAAGGTGTATACAGAAGCAGCTTCCCTTTGCCAGTTCACCTTGATTCTATTGCGAAACTTCATCTGAAGACTATCATGTGAGTTAACATTCCCTACCTTTTGCGATATCATCTTTTTTATACTGATCCCCAAATTAGTATCCTGGTGGACGAAGAATGGTCCCCCGATTATGGTGAATTCATCCGCAAGAATGGAATTACATCTTATATTATCCCTATATTGGCAAACAAAGTCCCGCAGGTCTCCACGCCCTATGAGACAGTTGTAGAAGTACTCAAGATCATTTTGAACCCAAAAAATCATCCCCTTTTGATTCACTGCAATAAGGGAAAGGTGCGTAATGTTGACTCGAAATTAATATACTTATTAAACGTCTGATCCTTCCTCCATAGCACCGAACTGGGTGTATTGTCGCCTGCTTTCGCAGAGTTCAAGGCTGGTCAGTCATTGCCGCGCTTCAGGAATATCAGAAATACTCGATACCGAAGTCGCGTGCACTGGACCGGAACTATATCGAAGAATTCAGTGCAGATGTCCTCTCAGAGCTTGCCAATAAAGTGGGAGCTCGCAAATGGCTTCCGACCATTGTCCCAGTCAACAACATCGATATAAATAGAGTCGACAAATCGCGTGTCGGGGCAACCGACAAACAATTTCCAAATGCTGAAAGTGCACCTCCTAGCCACTTCAGCGCAAGTTTAGAGGAACTCCACCGGGTCAACACCATCTAGAGGTTAACCGCTTGGACTCCTTTGGCAGCTATTTTCCTCTGAGAAAGAGGATTCAACTAACTCCCGTTGAGCAATGGAGTTATCTTTCAACTAAGCTTGCCTTTTTTCTTTCTTTTTCAGCAAGGAGTTACCGGGTATGGGTCGATATTACAACAGCAAAAGCAAGGCGTTCCCTTTTCACCCTTGGTACACATCGTCACTAAAGGAGTTATTCATAGCTGGTTAGGTTGGGTTCCGGAGGTTCAAGCATGTGGAAAGGGACCTCAAGTCACCGGAGGGGAAAAAATAAAGAAAACGAAACGAAACGGAAAGAAATCTCAAATACGACTCAACATTGAACCCGGCGTTACGGATGTTGGATGTGAAGCTCGATCTACCGCCTTCTAACAGTGGATTGGTTCTCTCTTTCTCTCCTCTTTGTTTCTTTTCTTTCTTTTCTTTTTTTCTTTTCTTTCTTTTTTTTTTTTTTTTTTTTTTTTTTTTTTTTTTTTTCCCTTGCTCACCTCTTTCTCCGTTTGCATTCCTTTGAGCATCTGAATCAACCTGCGATAAATACATTTCATGATTTGATCATCCCATCGTGGTAGTCCTACCTATACCTGGTACACCGTGGGCACCTACGGTGGTCCGTCGAAATTATTATCTGTTCAGCCCTTCTCTTTACACCACCCACTTAGACAAAAGCTAACCGTTTCTTTAACTTTCTTGTCCCACGTCTAGTATCCTTCTTTCCTTTCCCTTTTGGTCTTCCACGTGCGGCTGTCTAATTTGCTTCTCCCTGCATATTGTATTTTTACCTATGGAGTGTTTGCCGGCTGTTGTCTTTTCTTTTGTTGTTGAATAGTTTTTCCTCGGGACAACTGCCAAGCTGACGGGATATGGATGCAGGTGATTTGATCGGCGTGAAAATTCGGTGGGGAATGGTCTAATGCTGTAATGGGGAAAAGAAACAGGGTGGCAAAATTAATGTTGTTTGCACTGTATATGTGTGGTTGTGTATTAATAATTTCTTCTGATTCAGTAGTCCTGGGGGCATTTTATAAAAATTAATAGAAGGGTTTGTGGACGCAAGTGGTAAACTATGTAGGGACTCTTCATTTAGCTGTGGAGTTATTACTTAGGAGTAGTGATCGATTCTGCAATAGCGTCTTCATTTTAAGAGCCTTTCCCTTTTTCACTGAGGTGGTGTGAGACGGGAATATTTTCTGGGCGTTGAATATCGGTATTAGGAGTAAGCAAGTAGAAGAGGGGAAGTGTGTCCGCAATTAATGGAATGGCAATTCAAAAAGTTTCTTTCATCAAACAAGATTTAGGATCTAGAACTCAGCTTAAAAAATAGATATGAAATCAAATATTTGTACAGCAACAGGGCGAGAAAAAAAATTCCCTGTTCCTTCCTGCCATATATTCGTGTCACCCTGAGCGCCAGAAACCATTAAGGCAAAAACAGTCATGCTTAAGTACCAATCTCTGTTGCATCATTCACATTCCATGAAATAAGAAAGTGGGTAAAAGAAAACAGACAAGAAACTACCCCGTGTATACGAAACATATATGCGAAAAAAAAAAAAAAAAAAAAAAAAAAAAAAAAAAAAACAAAGCATCAGGGTGTCTGAAAAAACATAACACTCCTTCATACCAAGCCGGCCGCCTCCCTTGCCATTCTCAAATCCTTCTCCGGAATCCCCACATCCTCCAAATACAACTTAAAAGCATCCAGCAGCTTCGCCAAACCACCCCTCAACGCCTCCTTTATAATCTCCACCTCCTCCACCTTCCTCGCTTGCTTCTGCGCTTCGCCATCCCCATCTGCCTCAGAAGGGAAATCAACATCTGTCCAATGGATATCGAGCCCCCCTTCGCCAGCACTAGTAAATGCGTCGAGCACCGTTACGGTTTCTGTAAACAGGCGTACAACAGTCGCGATGTCCTGCTGTACTTTTCCGAACTGGTCCTCTCTCAGACTCGCGATGAGGAGGCTGGTAAGTGACTCCACCACGTCGACGATGGGGGCGAGACTAGAGTACGGAGTGCCAAGAACGATAATGCGTAGTCGCCGTGCATAAGATTGGCGGAAGGGCATGCCCACGAGCGAGCTGAGGACTTTGTGAATGATAGGGTGGGTGGCAGGTCGTCCTATTTTCGTGTTGGTGGATGGGCCGGTGAGGAGTTTGAGTTCTTGTGCAGAGGCGGATATGCGCTTTTTCTGCTCGGGACTTAGGACAGCAGTTGCGGCACGGTTGAGCATGTTGCGGGCCTGGTGGCGCGCGGCTGGTGTCCAGTCTGGAGACTGGCCGTAGGATTTGACTACAGAGCCGAAAGTGGATTCTAATTTTGCTGGGCCGGTGGTGGGTTTGGATGAGGCGACGAAAATGTTTTCTTGCCTTGGTGGAGAGGAGAGACGAGGTAAAGTTTGGATAACGGTTAGCTGCTCATTACTACTGCTGCTAAAAGTAATTGCGTGCTTTTGGGAGGGTGGAGAGGAGTCCGGAATCGTTGGTGGTGTTGGGTTTCGGCACTCGTTTATTCGAGAGGTCATCCCCTTGACAACGTTCACCGACGCGTCGAGAATTTGGCCCCATGCTGAACCACCGGTACGGTCTATGTCAGCAAAGATCATCTTGCGGCGTTCAGGAAACTGTTGGCTGATTAAGCAGAGTTCCCAGAATGCAAATGATTTGACGATGTCTTTCTTTGCCTTCAACCCGTTTAGTAGGCTGCCATTGGGATCTTTGGATTGGTTTGTCAATGGCTGGCCCTTTTTTAAAGGTGCTTGGCCCAAGAATGTGGAGAATAGAAGATTAGAGACCTGCCATAGTGCAACAAGAAGCGCACCAGAAGTAGCTGCTCGAAACAACAGGTGAATATGTAGTGGTGGAATGAAACCTGGGGGTTCCGCGGCGGAGCGGGGGAAATTCCAGAAAAGCTTTGCGAAAGAAAGTGCCCAGCCCCAAGCGGTGCGTCGCAGGAAAATCATATAGATAAAAGGACCCACAACAGATGTAACTGAGCTCCTTATTGCAGCATCGTAGAGTATTTGAGGTAGAGCCTTTCGGATCTTGACAGTTGGGGGCTCTAGAGCATGTGTATTTTGATCTGCTGATTTGGTTATGGGAATGGGGAGCCTATCCCAGTCGAAATAGAGGTGAAGTAGAGCTTGAGAAATAGCTAGAAGGGCGTAATAGCAATGAAGATATATCGGTCTTTCATTGAGCTTTGCTCGTTCAAAGGGTCTAGATATATGATTTCCATTTAGTATAGAGGTGCAAAAGAATCTTCCCAACACAGAGAATGAACTAACCTTCCTGGTTTGACCCAATTAAGTTCCGCGCTTTCCGACGACGACCATATATACACTTCACTAAACCACCATGCGGAGAAAACATACCAGCCAAAGGTTTGGAACATGGCAAAGGATAATACGGTCTGTCTCCACGAGCTAAAAGATGACCTCGCTGTCCGGGCTCCAACGTGCATCTGACCAACACGGAGTATAAAAATCGCAAGACATGAGATAGAAAGGAGCATCGTTCGAACACCGCAAGCGCCCAAGGGAAACCATGACCAGAAAACTAACGGGAAGCTCACAGTTAGACTATTATATCTACAGAGTGTTCCAATACCTCTTGGGGGGATGGGGTGGGAAACAAAGAAAACCCACATGAAGATTTAACGCCAATGAGAAAAGCTACAATATAGCATGCAACCAGGGAAATTGCTGAAGCATGGACGAATTTGCGATGTAGAATTGAAGTTAATATCCGCCTATACTGCCTTGTGCGGGCCACAGACGACGATGGTAAAATTGCCATGGCTGAATGAGACGAGTTTTCCACAGCCAGAGATAAGTGAGGGAGCATCGAGCATATCTGGAGAGTTTTGTAAACTCGCCGGGGTGTTACTGACAAGCAAGATACTGTATGGCTTGATCGTTTGCCCGAAGCGATGAAATGTATGGATTTACGTATGGAGTTTAGAACTGTTGTTCTTACAGCAAAACAAAGCCAAGCCACAGATGCGACCAACAAAATGCTCACCAGCCACACTTCGTCTGCTTAGGGCTTAGTGCGCCTAACTGCGGCGTTGAAGGTATATTACGTGATCACCCATCGCTTGGACGTAAGACGCCGGGAACATCCTTCGACATCGTCAAGGCAACATCTGTAGTAGCAAGCGACATCATTCCCTGGATATACGGCTACCATCACTGGCTTTACTCCAATGTTTATCTTAGACTTGGAGTTGTGTGCGTATTCTATTAGTCCTTCCGCTATTTGTTTGACCTTCCCGCATCCCCAACATGTCATTCGACCGCCTCTCAGCTCTCGAAGCGCAACCAACCAGACGACAGGACGAGTCACACTACCAGGATGACCCTGATTTCCAAAGATTGACAGAGTCTCTGTCAAATAGACTGTTTACTTTGACGTCCAATATCTCCCGCCTGTCAAACCAGATTTCCCTCTTAGGCACCAAACGAGATACCGAACGGGTCCGGGAAAGAGTACATGATTTACTCGAAGAGACGCGGGAGGGATTTCGGGAAGTGGGCGAAGGTATCAAGCAGGTTCAGATGTGGGACGATGTCAATGTGAGTAATAGTTATACGATGTGGAAACAACATTAGGGTTGTAGAGTGGCAGCTTCCACTCAATCCCACGCCTCAATCAACCCACTGACTCCTCTACCTTTTATGTCGAAAAGCCCTCCCAAAAATGGACGCAGCAAAAGCTTTCTTCCGAGTTTAAATCTACCCTTGAGGAATTCCAATCTGTCCAGCGCCGTGCACTGGAGAAGCAAAGAGCTTCCGCAACAGCTGCACGCACCGCCCTGGAGGAAGATGGCGGCGTGCCACACTCCCCAACTGAAGGCCAGTCTCTCCAACAGCTCCAAGAACGGCAACCCCGCCTTGCATCCCAGGCCGAAGTCGACTTCCAGGAGTCTTTAATTATAGAACGCGAAGCAGAGATCCGAAATATCGAACAGAGTGTTGGCGAACTTAATGAGCTTTTCCGAGATGTTGCCCACATCGTCCACGAGCAAGGGGGACAACTGGACTTGATTAGCGAAAACGTGGAGCGGACGAGAGATGATACCAGGGGAGCTGATTCTGAACTGAGGACCGCAAGCAGATATCAGAAGAAGGCGCGTAATAAGGCTTGCTGCCTCCTGTTGATTTTGGCTGTTGTTCTAGTCATTATTGTTCTTGCTGCCACCCTGGCTTGAGCAGTTTGGTGCATGTTTTGCTGATCTCCGCTTTGTTTCGTTTTTGTAACTGTTCCTAATATTGTCTTGTCCGAATGGCATTTGCCTTTTATTTACGGCCCACTGGTTTTCGTTTTGTATTTTCTACGTGCCTATGATTCCCAACGGATTGATATATTGATCCCTTTGTTTTCTGTTTTTTGGGTTGATCCTTTGAGGAATAGATTATTCTTGATGTCGTTTTCCAGCATAGCTACTAAAGTCCTTATTGCCATCGTTAATATCGTACGTATATCTGATAATCCAGAATATATATACACCCACACAATCTACAAATACAAAACCTTAGAAAACCGTCACTAGATCGCAAGATATGTAATAGACCCTTCTCTGACTTGCACACTCCGTTGTCAAGAGGTAAAACGAGATACGTAATATCATCAACCCAATCCAACTAGCCGACTGGCCCTCATCCTCCACCCTTCCCAAGTATTCAACTTGGGCCGCACATCCAGATAAAAACTTAGCTTCCCATTATTGGTAGCAGCCCCCAGCCCTGACCCTGCGGACCTTCCTTGATAGAAATCAATCACGTATTCAATTTTAGTCCCTCCGCACCTCTCCACAACCCAATCATGCCTATCGAATGGCCGCTGATAACCTAACCACCCGTTGATCCGCGCTCGGGGACTCAGAAACTGACTCTCGACACCTAATCCACGGAACGAATACAACTTGGGACCCCCGCACTTTCGACTACCTGGATCCGAGATTGGGGCGGAAGATTCCCATGCAAGTATCTCAGACCATGCGCGCTCGTTCACGGCGTTGTGGATGGGAATAATTGAAGCTACGGAGGTGGCTAGGTCTGTCGCTGACGTGGCTGATGTGGGGGTATTTTTGCGCAAAAGGGCATCGAAGAATTGACGCTCTGAAGGATAGATCCAATTTCCGGTGCGGGAGTCATGGCCTGTTTCGGCTTCATCGTTTGATGGGTTGATATGGGAGGCTGTGGTTGAGGTTGGTGAAGCGTATGGAGATGGAGGAGCGGGTGTTCCGGAAGTGGATGAGGATGATGATGCTGAAGTATTAGGCAATGCCCGAGGGATACTGCTTACTTCCCGCTCGCGAGATAGAGGCCTATGTAATTTCGTCGGCTTTGGGCCACTGATGGGTTGCGCAGATGTGTCGGTTGTGGGATTTGGATGAGGAGCAGTGGGATTTTGATGTTGTGAAAGCCATACAGCACGAGTTTTGTGATCTACAGGGCATGTAGTTTGGGGGCTGCAGTCTGGAGCAGATGAAGCCGAAGGATTCGCAGTACTCCCGTTGGCACCCATGGCCATGGAAGTATTAGGGCCGGGCAGGTTAAGGAAATAATTATGTACGTAGAAAGATGAATTTGAGAGCGGGTTCCTTCTCACATCTGCGACATAGGGAAGGTAGCAATTGATATTCCCTTATGCAATAAAAGGAATCCCACTGGCTTTCAAAGGTCCTGTCGTATCTCTCGCATCTGTTGGTTACGGCTGAAACTAAAGATGAAGCTGAGGCTCATGCTCAGAGAAAAAACACGATTACCAAGTCGATCTGATAGTTAACGATTTAGTTAACTAGTTAAATAAGGTTCGGAGTTCGAAATCGTCCACAGAGCCTCCATCAACCTTATTTTGATTTCACTGTCCTACAACTTAAACAAAAAGAAATTACAACTCTCCCACCTTATCTTCATTTAGGCTCTTTGACGGCCACCAAGAGATTGTCCTGCGTATCTCCTGCAAGTAGTCGCAATTGAAAAAGGGGCAAACATGGTTGATTCCACTGAGGTCTACCGTGCGAGTGCCACGGCACCTGTCAACATCGCCGTTATCAAGTAAGCCAGTTGGACCACTAAGTTTCCTCATTCTTCACATTTAAACTTACTCTAACTTTTCGCAGATACTGGGGGAAACGAGATGCTGTCCTCAATCTTCCGACTAATTCTTCGCTTTCCGTTACCCTATCACAAAGCTCTTTGCGTGCATACACCACTGCATCATGTTCTCCTTCCTACCCCTCTGACGCAGGCGATACTCTGACCCTTAACTCGGAACCCCATAGCATTCAAGATTCAAAGAGAACCCTTGCGTGCCTGGCTGATCTACGAGCTCTCCGCCAACAGCTGGAGAATACAGACCCATCTCTACCAAAGCTCTCAACTTTCCCCCTACGCATTGTGTCTGAGAATAACTTCCCCACCGCTGCCGGCCTCGCTAGTTCTGCTGCTGGTTTTGCTGCGTTAGTTTGCGCAATTGCCAATCTTTACGAGTTACCCCAGTCGCCTAGAGACCTCAGTCGTATTGCACGCCAGGGATCGGGCTCAGCATGTCGCTCCATGATGGGTGGATATGTTGCATGGCGCGCAGGTGTTTTGGAAGACGGCATTGACAGCTTGGCAGAAGAGGTGGCACCAGCAAGTCACTGGCCCGACATGCGTGCTCTTATCCTTGTTGTTAGTGATGCACAAAAGGAAGTGCCCAGCACAAAAGGAATGCAAGCAACTGTGGCAACTTCAAGCCTCTTCCCAACCCGTGCTGAAACAGTTGTACCCGCACGAATGACCGCCATCGAGGCCGCGATCCAGAACCGGAATTTCCCCAGCTTTGCCGAAATTACTATGAGAGACAGCAATAATTTCCATGCCACCAATCTTGACACCTGGCCCCCTACTTTCTATCTCAATGATGTGTCCCGTGCTGCAATCAGGATAGTCCATGATATCAACCGTGTCGCTGGCGAGACCATCTGCGCTTACACCTTCGATGCGGGTCCGAATGCGGTTATATATTACCTGGAAAAAGAATCCGAGCGTGTTATTGGGACTTTTAAGTCAATTCTCAGCGCTGAAACTCGGGGTTGGGATGGCGTGTATGGGGATGCGGTTAAACAAGTAAAATCAGGCATTCCAGTGGAACTTTTGGATTCGAGGGCTGTTGCTGGGTTAAGGGATGGCATCAGTACTGTTGTTCTAACTGGTGTTGGTGAGGGCCCTATCAAGGTAGATCGACACCTTGTTAGCGAAACGGGTGAGATTTTGGCTGGCGCCAATTAGGTACATGTCACACATATTTTATTGGCAAAAGGAAGCAAGAAAGTTTTACTGGAATACAAAACAATCTTCAGTCATAGATACCCCTTGCATCTGGGAGAAGGAACAGCGGCCCCATTGAAATATTTCAAAAATTTCAATATATCTATATAGCTTCATTAGGCGATTTGCATAGGAATGTTAATACCTAAAAAGGGGAGAAACATGACTACGCTGCTTTCTCCAATTCACTTGTTTCCTTTTTGACAACCCTGAACATGAAAACTCCTTACTTATCCTCCAAGAATAGCCAATTTCTGAAACTCTTTTACAACCGGGCGTTCCCTCCCTTTGCCCCGAACAATCTCCTGCAAGCTATCCCAGAACACTCCATCCCCACCAGGCGGTCTCTCGCCTCCCAAATCGCCATTTCCAAGAATACCCCTCGCATCAACGCCATCAGCACCAACAGCCTCCTTAGGCGCTTCAAACACATCATCCAAGCAATCCCTACACATTCCCAGAACCTCATCCAAGTGATGCTGCACCAGCGCCGCCCGCTCCCTCATCCCTCTCCTCAACAACGCCTGGATAATCGTCTCCCCTTCCACAACCGCACCATTAACCCTCTCAACAAGTCTACGCACACTATTAACTAGGTACTCTTCTTCATAAACAGTTCCCTTCTTCCCACGGGCGCGCTTGCGCTCCTCACGCCGTCTTGTCTTACTACTTTGGCGCGACGAAGAGGTGTTACCGGTATACCGCGTAAACATACTCCTGCCCGCCATTGTAGTGGCATCTGTCGCTGACAGGGATATGTTATCTGGAATATCGATCCCACCTTCTGCCATACCAGCAGCTGGATCCCCGCCGTAGAAACCCAGTGGGTCAGTAGCGCGCCGTACACGCAGTTCTTCGATCCTGGGAACCTGGGCGTTTAGCTGCGCCTTGCAATCTGCAAGCAGGTCGATAATGCTGCCCATTGCGTCCCCCAAGGCTGAGTCGACTATGTCGCTGATGAGGGATTGTTTGCCGTGTAGGGCGAGGAGACGACAGGCTTCCCCGAATTGGTTGCCGCGGCAGAGGAGGCGGGCTGCGGTTGGGATGTCGTGGAGGTGCTCGGAATGGATGCGGGCGGCAGATATGTAGTCTTTTGTTTCATCTGTTAGGGTTGTGGCGAGGGATTGGGCGAGGGAGGTCATTTGGGTGTCGGGTAGTGGAACGAGGCTGGCGCAGTAGAGGCATTCGCGCCACTGATGGGCGAGATTGTAGGATTGGTAGGCAGGTTCGTATACGGATAGGGATTCGTAGACTTGGGGTGTGTTAGTTCGTAACGTTTTTACTTGTGTAGGGGCATGTTGATTTGTAGTTAACAGGATATCACATGTGGAGGGGCTGTGGAGCATACTGATAGCGGCTTCCTTATAGTTTGATTGGTCATACAGATAGTCTCCATATAATTGCGACATATCGCGAAGCAATTCGGGCTGGTATTTGTATAGCTCCAAGGCATCGCTGTATAGAGTATGTTTGATGGCGTAGAGTTTCAGTTCATCGTACGCATGAAGTGCATACAGGCTCTTGAGCGCCTTCCGGACTCGTCCAAGGTGATTGTCGATTTCATACTGACGGCGAAGCTCTGGCATCGCTTGCAGCTTCTGAAGGAATGGAAGATACTCTCGAGGATCCTGGGTGAAATTAGTATGCCTGTGGCTCTAAAGGCTAGGGAATTCCTATTAGCATAGAACACACCTTCTGGGCTTGTTGGGCTACCATCAATGTTAGCTCTAGATCATACAAGCCTAGGGCATGGTCGTAAAGTCTATATGCATCAGTGAGGAAGCACATATGCTCGACGGCTTCCTCCGCCTGTTGCGTGTTTTGTTCTAAGACTAGGTTAGATTCATCTTTTCTCATATGGCTTGGAGGGATGACCTACCCCGGAGCTTCGCAACAAGTTGAAGCCCAGAATCCAGGTCAGGGGGTGATTTGCACAAATGGGCGGTGACAAGGTTTTGAAGATTGGCATCGATTCGATTGTTCAGCACGGATAAGAATGCATTGCAAATTTGATTTACTTTGTTGTCCTTGTTGGATTTTGAAGCTGTCTTTACAGCATCACCAGGCGCTACCTCGTTTGTGACATCAGTGGCACCAATATCAGAGACTGCTATCTTAAGGGTGTTTTTGTATAGCGTTTCAGAAACATCCTCGACCCTACAACCAAGTGTCAACATATAAATCCTACGGAGAATGACTAGAAGAGAGAGCATACCGCAATCGAGAGAGGAATTCATCAATGTACTCAACCTTCTTCACCTGGTCAATGAATATGGAAACATTCGCCATGAACTGAGCGGGGGAATAATCATGAAGAATGTTCATATCCACCATGTGCTTTCTGCATGCAAGGTATGCCGCGTGATACTTTTTGTTATCGATATAGTTGCGGATTCCGGCAAGAACAAGCGCTCGGGGATAAATGGTCTCGGTATTACCACGAGGCATCTGTAAGGTAACGGCGAATATCGAGGGCATGACAGAAACCAGACGAGCTCCTCGCTCGATGCTTCGACATCTTTCATCGATTTCAGGAATGTCTCCGGGAATATCAAGTTCTGTCACCATAAATTTGAGTAGATATTCAACAATATATCCAAGGGGATAGGAGCATACCATCTACTTTAGATAAATGAACGAATTTCAGAAGGTGTTGGGTTGTGGTGAAAATAAGATGGGCCCCGGTGATTACGAATGAGGTACAGTTCTTTGCAAGGAGTCGCTTATCTGCATATAGAGCTCCAGACTTCGATAAGGAGAAGAGAATATCCTACACAATCAGCGCCGTCCGAAGTGAGAATATCTTCTGCAAAAAGCTTACCTGTCCATCTGGGAGCTGAATTGCATTGACCCAGCATGTTTTCTGGGTCGGACTCTCGTGGAGAATCTCCTCCAGAAGCCCGCTGGGCCCCTCTGAAGAGAGCTTAAAATATAAGCCTGGATTTCTAGTGCGCCCTTCCTGGTAAATCCACAGAGAATTCTGCAGTGTGTTGGGAAATATAGAAGACAGCATGTTCCCATCCTTTGACTGGTATACAATTGTGGTCTCCTGCATGTTGACGAGCGTCTTTTCTATATCTTGTTGGAAGTATCCGCGCTGATTCAGAACATATAGCTCATTCTCTTCCAAAAATGCAATTCGTCTGGGTCTCGATGATGCATTCAGGAGAGGATAAATTACTTTAAGTTCAGGGTCCGCAGCGGGGACGGCTTTAAGGTTCCAGGCATATAAGGAAATCCCAGTCATGGTTAGGACTGCAAATTGGGAACTGGATTTGCTGAATGCGACATCTATTGCATTAGACTCCAGAGATATATCATAGGCAGCCATTGGAGGAGGGACATTGGACAGTTTTAATGGCGTTATTTTTAATGACCCTAATTCCGAGTTAGCCATATATTCAATAATAGGAGTAAATTCAACTCACTCCCATCGACAACAGCAACGGCCCCAAAATCACCCGGGGTAAGCGTAGATCCTCTCGATACATCAAAAACCCATTCAGTATCTAACATCGTATCTATGATTTTTGTGTTAGCTCAGTGAGTCAATTTAGGAAATTAGGATATTTGCGTACCAGAAGACCCGGCAGCAAAACGCAATGCTTTTTCCTGGTGCCATCGGAAACATTGAAGCTCTCTTCCTGATCCCGCTTCCACAGAAATAGGGACCTCCTGTTTTAAATAATAGTGGTAATTTCCCATCGTCCACAGCTGCGTTCTATCCTTAAATTGTACAGCAAGCACAGTGGAGTCGACATTCCATGCCAAACTAATGTTCGATGCCCAGCTGGTCATATCTTCTTTGGTTAAGCGTAACGTGAATTCGCCATGTCGGAGTCCATTCCTTTCAAAAAACACAACGTCCACTCTGTCCTCCAATCGCTGTATTCCAGAAATTAAATTTCCAGATGGCCTCCAGCTTAACGCACCCTCTACCCCGTCCACCGGCTCACTTACGCTGTCCAAAATGCCCTCGCGCGAATAAACCCTAATCACACGGCGATTATCGGATTGAATACTATTCACAGCAATGAAAGCCCCGTCACCCCTCCAGCTGATAGAAGTCCTTTTGTCATCAAAATCGCTAAGCTTCCCTTCATCAACTTTTTCTGGGATCGTGGGGTCCCTCAGAGCTTTTGCTCTCTTGCCCTGAAACTGCGTCTCCTTTTTTCCCCAGCCAACAGAAACATGTCTCGACGCCTTGAGATCGTCGCTTGTGAATGCAATGTTGGCCACATTTTCGAAATCCCTTGTCATATAGAGAAGCGTGTTGGACCTGGTGGTGACTGCAAGTAGCTCTTCATCCGGAGACCATACCGCTGCTGTAATTCCCACGTCAACTGACCCCACGATTTCAATTTTGTCCTCGCCCGGTTGGGGGTCTTCACGCACAACTATGATATCACCGCCTTCTAGCACAAGGCATGTAACTAAAGTATCTGCAAAATACTGCAATGATAAAACTCTGTCATGTTGCAAATCTGGGAGCGGACATGGTGCATCCCAGGAGGTGATCAACTGGATATCCTCCGCCTCCACGTTTGCATCCTGCACTTTTCGTTTCAGTTCAATGACAGCACTTGTTTCCGTTGGCCCAAATGTGCAAAGGATGGAATCCGTCGCAGGATCCCATGCCGTTGCAGTCAGAGGCAGCTCCCCCCCAAGCGGAGTCTCGCGCAGGTGTATGTTCCTCAAATTGCGCATTTTATATTGAGCGTATGCGCCGTACCTAGGTTCGATAACACCGTAATTTTTATTTTAAATACTATCCCATACAGTCTGGTTTTAAGGCGACGGCGTCATAGTCTATTATGGAGTTCTTGGTTGGGATATTTGGATGTAATTCAAGCGAAGGTGAAATAAATAAATGTGCTTCTCAATTTTTCTTTTGGGTGAGTAACAAGTTTTTACTACATCCATGATTTGGCCGAGAACCAACACAAAACTCCTTATAAAATAGTCTAATACAGCACCCACCATACAATAATATGCAATTTACACATTTCTAGCTATGGCAACATGGGAGATTTTGACTTTATGGTAATTCTAGCTCCGCAACTATGTATGTACACATTACAAAGTCAAACAAACAATCAAAGTGAACTTTAAAGAACATCTTCCTTGTCACATCACCACAGTCCAGATCAAATAAATACACTTGCCAACACGTTTACTTGGTTTTCTTAGTTTGCCAGACTATTTCATCATTGTATTAGTGGTGTTTCACTGCACATGTATAATGGTACTTTGTGTATAAGTCTTACCAGCAATGGCGAAGGGAGCGCCGAAACCAACAGCTACAAGTTGTTAGCAATCGAATAGTGGCCACATAATTCGGAGAAATTCCTACTTACCCATAAAGCCCCAGTATCTCCAGAAGAAATACTTCGTCAAAGGATTGAAGGGGAGATTGGAGCGAGGGCCCTCTGGGTAATGGAAAGGACTGGACATCTGCGGGCGGGAGGAGTGGAAGCCGCGGCGGGCAACGGTGGTGGCCATTTTCGCGCGGGTTGCGGTTTGAGCGATCATCTTGAACGGCCGTTAGCAGCAGACTGAGCGGACTGATGCCACTAGGGACTAGCCCGTACCTTGAGGATGCTGTGGAGGCAGAATTGACTTGGAGTTGTGTCGTAGACGGGAAGATACAGAAGAACTAACGTTCCGACGAAGTTCAAGAAACATTGGCTTAGCCAGTAGAAACTTGCTGACTCAGCGTGACCGTCCAAACCACGTGATATAGCCCTAAGCCATAGCGAATCGGAAAAATCTTATCGGGAGAGTTTCGCCGACGCTTTTTTGACAATTTTAACAACTTAGTCGCATCAAGAGTTGTAATAAATGCCGCTGGAGACTTTCCACAACGCAACGTCGGATGAATTAAAAGGGATTTCAGTGGACTGTCTACCTAACATGGACGATCTGTTCAATGTGTTCGAGGATAAACCCCTTTCAGGAATTCCTCCTCAAGGAGCCCCCAAACCTCGATCCAAGAAGGACAAGAGCAGAAAGAGACAGTCAAATGGGCTTGTGAAGGATGGTTCTAATACGGCGGGCTATCAGGAGAATGGCGAGATTGTAGATACCCCGATGGAAGATGCAGGCGCAGCGGAACCTCCTGAACCGCAAAATGGCCTACCCGACGCGAAGAGACAGCGCATTCAGGCAGAACCAGAGACTGTCGTTGCTGATACCTTCGAAACCGAGCAGTCGCGTGAGATCGCAGGCTCTGCCGGTCTTCAAGGCGCCCAGGATACCAAAGCTGTCATCCTATCCCATCAAGTGCGCCATCAAGTAGCCCTACCTCCCGATTATCCGTACGTCCCAATCTCAGAGCACAAACCTCCAGAATCTCCGGCCAAGACATGGAGCTTCACTCTTGACCCTTTCCAACAGGTCTCTATCGCGTCAATCGAGAGAGGGGAGAGCGTTTTGGTATCTGCTCATACTAGTGCTGGAAAAACAGTGGTTGCAGAATATGCTATTGCGCAAAGCTTAAGAAATAACCAGAGGGTTATATATACGAGTCCTATCAAGGCGCTGAGTAACCAGAAGTACCGAGAATTTGCTGCTGAATTTGGCGATGTGGGATTGATGACCGGTGACGTAACGATAAATCCCACAGCAACATGTCTCGTCATGACAACTGAAGTGAGTGCTATTTATACGTGGTTTACGAGGCTGTCATTAATAATGTAACAGATTTTGCGATCCATGTTATACAGAGGCTCTGAGATTATGCGCGAGGTAGCCTGGGTAGTTTTTGACGAGATACATTACATGCGAGACAAGAGTAAGTTTTCTGGGATTAGAACAGCCGCTGGAACTTTTAGAATATTAACATCTGCACAGCGCGTGGTGTTGTATGGGAAGAAACTATCATTCTTCTTCCAGACAAAGTTAGATATGTTTTCCTCTCCGCAACAATTCCGAATGCGATGCAATTTGCCGAATGGATTACCAAAATGCACAATCAACCATGCCACGTCGTCTATACCGATTTCCGACCAACCCCTCTACAACATTACTTTTTCCCTGCTGGTGCTGACGGAATCCATCTAATTGTTGATGAGAAAGGGGTTTTTCGTGAAGAGAACTTCCACAAAGCCATGGAGTCGATTGCGGAAAAGCAAGGAGAGGATCCTGCTAATCCGATGGCTAAAAGGAAAGGCAAAGGCAAGGATAAGAAAATAAATAAAGGAGAGGTTAGCAAGGGCCCCTCAGACATCTTCAAGATCGTAAGGATGATCGTGATGAAGAATTACAACCCGGTTATCGTTTTCAGTTTTAGCAAGAGGGAGTGTGAGGCCTTTGCCCTACAGATGAGCAAGATGGCATTCAACGATGAATCGGAGAAAGATATGGTCAGCAAGGTTTTCAATAGTGCAATTGAAATGCTCTCAGATGAGGACAAGGAGCTGCCGCAAATTAAACATATCCTACCTCTGTTGCGACTGGGGATCGGGGTTCATCACTCTGGTCTTCTCCCAATTCTCAAGGAAACTATTGAAATCCTGTTTCAAGAAGGCTTGCTCAAAGTGCTCTTTGCCACAGAGACGTTCTCTATTGGATTGAACATGCCTGCGAAGACCGTGGTTTTTACGAGTGTCCGGAAATTCGATGGCGTAAGCCAGCGCTGGATTACTCCGTCTGAGTTTGTGCAGATGTCCGGTCGTGCCGGACGTAGAGGTCTGGACGACCGTGGCATTGTCATTATGATGATAAATGAGGAGATGGATCCGACAGTTGCGAAGGAGATCGTCCGTGGGGAGCAAGACAAGCTTAACTCAGCTTTTCATCTAGGTTATAACATGATATTGAATCTGTTACGAGTAGAAGGTATATCACCGGAGTTTATGTTGGAGCGATGCTTTTATCAATTTCAAAATACTGCTAGTGTAGCGGGGTTGGAAAAAGGTATGTGTTCAATACACCATACGTCAACAACCGTTCCTTTCTAATAGCAGCAGAACTCGTCGAACTGGAGAAGGAGCATGCCAGCATGGTAATTGCGGATGAAGGGACGATACGGGAGTATTATGAGCTGAGACAAAATATCGCGACATACACCTCAGATATGCAGAGCGTGATCACTCTTCCCAACTATTGTTTACGTTACATGCAGGTGGGGCGCCTTGTTCAAATACAATACATGGACTACGACTTCGGATGGGGCGCTGTTGTCAACTACCAGAGACGGAAACCTCCTAGAAACTCCCCGAATGAACAGTATCCCCCGCATGAGAACTACGTTGTCGATGTCTTGCTCCCGATTTCGGAGGATTCGGCATTCACAACGAAAACCATAGAACCCCTGCCTCCTGGTATTCGACCCACACAACCGGGGGGGAAGGTCCGGTTAGAAGTTATTCCCGTGCTCCTTAATTGCATCAAAACAATCTCCCATATTCGACTTCGTTTGCCTCAAGACCTCAAGCAAGCCAGCACAAGGAACGGAATTCACAAGCATATTATGGAAGTTCAGAGGCGATTCCCCGATGGAGTTCCACTTATAGACCCCATTGAGGATATGGGTATCAGGGACGACTCCTTTAAGAAACTCCTAAGGGTACATGTTACTGCGACCACTGTTTAGTCTTAGCATTCATTAGTTTTGTTTACTAACTGCTCAAGCAGAAAATCGAAGTGCTCGAATCACGTCTATTATCCAATCCACTCCATAACTCCCCTAGACTTCCAGACTTATATGACCAATACGCGGCTAAAACCGAACTTGCATCAAAGATCAAAGCGACAAAAAAGAAAATCACAGAGGCCATGTCGATAATTCAACTAGACGAGCTAAAATGTCGCAAACGTGTCCTTCGTCGCTTCCAATTCATCAACGAGGCGGAAGTCGTCCAGCTGAAGGCCCGTGTCGCATGTGAGATCAGCAGCGGCGATGAGCTGATGTTGAGCGAGCTCCTTTTCAACGGATTTTTTAATAATCTCACACCCGAGCAGTGCGCAGCTGTTCTTAGTGTGTTTGTCTTTGAAGAAACTTCAAAAGAAACACCTCCAATTGCCAAGGAGGAGCTTGCAAAACCGCTGCGCGATATCCAAGCTCAGGCGAGGGTTATTGCTAAAGTGTCGCAGGAGTCTAAGCTGACTGTCAATGAGGACGAATATGTGAAGGGGTTCCGATGGGAGTTGATGGAGGTTATCTATGAATGGGCGAAAGGGAAATCATTTGCGGAAATTTGGTAAGCTTTTTATCTATTTTCGACACGTTAAGCTATGACAAAAAAAAAAAAAATTAAAAATAATAAAAATAATAATTTCCCGCACTTTTGCTAACTGGGCTTTCTTCCCCCTATTTTTGTAGCAAAATGACGGATGTCTATGAGGGAAGCTTGATCCGCACATTCCGCCGGCTGGAGGAGTGTATGCGGCAGATGGCACAGGCTGCGAAGGTGATGGGCAGTGAGGATTTGGAGAAAAAATTCGAGAAGTCGCTAGAGATGGTGAAGCGAGATATCGTTGCAGCGCAATCGTTATATCTATAGAAACAGACTGCGGTGCTGCCTCGGCTGGAATGCATCATGTCTTGTCACTGATACAGTTCTTTTTTTTTTTTTTTTTTTTTTTTTTTTTTTTTTTTTTAGCTTTCTTTTCTCTTCCCTTTTCATTCGTCTCGTCCGCATCATATGTCCATCTCCCTTCTTGCGACTGCATACAATGAAATAATGTTATGTATGTTGGCATATATGAATTGTACGCCCAGAATCGCATTGCATCGCAATGGAGTTCAGGTCGATTTTTGCCAGTCATGGGGGAAAAGAGGAATCGCACGTATCTTGGTATAATTCTTTCTCCAATTTAACTCCGTTTCATCAGCAATGATTACCTTTCCTGCCGAACTATTGGCAGAATGCATTTTCAAATGGCAGGTTATTTATCCGCTTGTTGATTCTAGACATCCTGAGTCTTCCTGTGCACCTTATCATAGTTATATATTATGTTGCGTGAGTATATGGAGATTATGTTGAAGATGCCTGGAGACCGGGTGCTGTGTATTGAAACAGAGTAATTACAGCGTAATGATACAGAGTGTTTTGCCGCATGACAACCCCAGATTCGATGTTTTGTCACGTAATACGAGTCATAAGATCGAGCAGTCGTCAGCTGCGGTTGGCTGTTTTGTTGTAAATTACCGTACTCTCGTGCTCTCCCCGCTGGACTTTCCTTCACCAACCAGCGGCTTCAACTTCAACTTCATCAATTTCTTCCACTTCTTCCATGTTCTTCCACTTCTTCTCATTTCTACATCCCTGTTCTCTTATTTATTTCCCTCTTCTCCCCTGATCATTCTCCAACTCCTTCTCTTCTCCATCAGTAGTGCCCGAATAACCATCTCCCTTCCTGCTCTTCCTTGCTGGCACACTCAGGCGGTTTGTTGTCAGCTGGACTTGGCTCCCTCACCTTGTCTCTCTCCAAACATGAATAGCCTGCTGGCAACGCCTCCTGTTCCTCCACACTTCTACGAGCACGTTCGACTCTCCCCATCCTGGTCCAGTGAGTTGCTCTTGAAGAAACCGAATCATGAAGATGTGACTGATGTCCTGACCTGTGCGCTTATTTAGTGTCCTCCGCCAACTCCAGTGGCAACCGAAAACGAAAAGCTGAGGATGATAACCCTAGTGACCATGACACTCGGATGTCTGCCTCTCCCTCAAATTCCCCAGCCCTCGCCCCGAGACCTTTACCTACTGCTCGCCAAATAAAACGACCGAGGCCAAATATCTCGGGACGCCCTTTGCCTCTTTCCCGCCTTCTGGAGACGTTGGATACCGATGCGCTCCGTTCTGTCCTACGATCCATGTGTAACAGACACCCCGAGCTGGAGACCGAAGTTGTACATACTGCCCCTCGACCAAGCGTCAGCTCTGCCCTGCAGGTATTGAGCAACTACGAATCAACGCTTCAGTCCTCCTTCCCACTTGGAGGGAATTCCTCCTCAGACTATGCATATAATCGCGTCCGCCAACACATCACAAACCTCCTAGACGCCTTGAATGATTTCACACCTCACTTCCTCCCCCCCAACGAATCACAAGTCTCAACAGCTTTAAACTATTTAGATGGCGCCACTGAAATTCTTCATCGACTTCCAAGATGGGACACGCCACAACATAATCTGGAGAAGGATGTTGCCTACGAGGAGATTGCCAAGGCATGGATAGTGGTTATACGGGAGGCGGGGAAGCGGGGTGGAGGCATCCAGCTGCAATATGGTGGATGGGATCTGAAACTTTCAAAACACAACCAGACAGCGGGGGGGAAGCTTCAGGATGCTATTAACGTCCTTAGTTCCAGTCTCTGTTGGATGGGCGGTCACCAGGATTCATCTGCTAGTCAGGGAGGAGATCCTACATCCATACGCCACCAGCTTCTCTCTGGGACTTATGGCAGTAGCTCTCCGCTCAAAGTTAGCAAGTGGTGATTACGAGACACATTCTTCTCTATAGAGCCTTCTTATCTTTTTTTTATGGCTAATCTGTTGTACCATTCTACTGTCTATTTCACGCATTTTTTTCTCTTCTTTCTAGCTTTTCTTTCCTCTTTTTAAAATCATCTCTTGTGGTGAATGACACCTCTCTGAATGGGCATAGTCCAGTTTCTCCCTTGCATTTTTCGTGTTTCTTTTGTCATCTTAACGACACGGTTACGATACCCACCGTATAGGGGATTAGAGTGATACATAGCCCACCGCTGGCGTTTTTTTTTAAAAAAATTTCTTATTCGATTTGAACCTTTCCCCTCCCTTTTGCTTCGGCTTTTTACCCTTCTCCATATTTTGTTGCTGAAAAATTCACGGCTCAAACCATTTCCATGTCCTACATGGGTTAACGGAATATGTAGGAGCTTTCCTTATCTCCACTTGTTTTTTTATATATGTCTTCTTGACACCTCTTTCCCCTCATTTTCACGAACGGTGTTTTGATACCTTTCCTTGCATCTTCCACTTTTTCATGCCATTTTCATTTTTCTTCCCCTTTCCCTGTCCGTGGTGATTTTGGCTCGCGCTACCCCGATTGCATGGTTATTGTGTAGCTAGAGTACGCACATATGTAATCTTCCTGATACATATAAGCACACGCACAAATACGAATCCTTCCTGATGATGTTTGTTATTAACCACTTTTGCGGCATTCTCCCGAGGCGCTATGAAACCTGCGTCTACATTCTTGTTCTTTGGGAGTCTACTACTAACCATTCCTTGTTCTTCTGCTGTTTTCGAAACTAAAATGCAGGCGTTGGTGAACTTTTTTTTCTTCGTTCTTTCACCAGCGTGATATTAGTAAACACAAATACAAAGTGGATATATGTATAGTACATGAGTGTTCCTGTTCTTGTATAAAATATTTTGCAGGGTCAAATTTCTATATATAGTAATTTTTATGGGAAAGGCTTATGTTTTATTTATTAGCTGTATATGAAAGATTCATTTGAAACGGTTCTGAATCTCCTTTCACTAGTGCTGGGTTGCTTTGCACAAAATGTGAGAATTGCATTATCATTGCCAATCAGTCTAATAATTCTGAAATATCGATAAGTCCTTCCTACACTTGATAGATGGTAATACCAAGAAAAGAGGGAGGGAGAGAATCACCAGAATAGAGACAACAAAAGCAGCAAACGAACTTATCCACAAACACAATAAACACACCTCATTCACACTCCCGCTTAATCAGACCTATATCTCAACCCTCTGTTTACAGATCCTTCAAACCTCAACCGCAACTCCTTCCCCATCACAACTCCAATCCCGCCTCTTCGTCCGCCAACGCCTTAGCACACTTGCACATCTCCAACTCCTCATCCGTCCTCCGCGCCCTCGCCTCCGCAAAGTCAATCATCACAACTTCATGCTCCACACGACCCCTATGATGGCCCCTGCCCAAACACCTCCTCCGCACACACAAATTCCGCGTCCGCAGCTTCTCATAGAGAACCTCATAATCGCCCAGCTTATTCACTACATTTAATGAGGTGCGGAAGATCGCCAGCCAGCACTCTGATGATGCGTGTTTGCTGGTATCTTTCAGTGGAAAGCTGTTGTCGATGTATTCTATCAAGGGGGCTGGGATGGAGAGGTTTGCGTGTGCGATGCCATGGAGGTTCAGGTGGAGCTAAACGGAAGTGTAAAGTTGGGGGATCTGTGTACCTTGTAGCCGAGAGAGGCGGGTGTATATGGTACGTACCATTCGGCTTTGAACTGTTCTAGGCAGGCTTTGCGGGACATGGCGGGCTCCTTCCCGGGAGCGAGCGGTGATAGAAAGCAACAGCAACTGGCAGCTGTTTGTTAAGTTCAACGGGTTTAGCAAACAGAGGATATCAAGTGCAGCCAAACCGGGAATGCCGTGGACATCGTAGATTCATACCAAGAATACCCGATTGCGACGCTGTGAACTTCCCCGTTTTTTAAATGTTGCATTGGGTATGGAAACGTCTACCTAACGCACCAGGTATTGGAACGTGGGAATGCCAATGATCATGTTATAACTTCATATTTCTTCTAGACTCCTCCCGAACATCGGGAGAATATATACTCTAGGCGACAGGCACCTTTTCCCCCGGTGCTCGGTTTTATCAGCTTTGATAAAAGCTGACGGGACAATGTGCGTATAACACTACATTTCACAGATCCTCGAAGAGCAAAAGTTAGAAACTGTTTTTGACTCTTCAGAGCATCCGACAAGAGTTGACGATTGAAGGAATCAGAAATCCCGGTCAAAGAGACGTTGTTTCTTGCCGTGAATCCAGTAATTGGGGGAAGCGATAAGCGTATTGCACAAATAGCAATACGGAGTAGAGGACTTCGTAATGAGACCAGGTAGCCTCATGGATATCAAGATCTCTTCCCGAGTAGCAGAGATCCCAAGTTTTCTCTTATTTTAATCGGAGGTTGAGAAGGTTTGGAAAGTGACAGGTGGATGATCACCAATCATAAAAAGGTGACCAACAATAAATAACCATTGAAGTTTCTCTCCGTCGTGATGCCTGCGACAGGCTCGATAATGATGCAAAGGAGAGTCGTTGGGCGTCACTACCACCAGAAGGGTACAGGGAAGAGCCCTAGGACTTGCAAGATGCAGGATTGCATTCAAATCCGCCCTTATGAGTTTGGGAACGACGAGGAAATGGATTTACTGTTGAATTGGTATGAAATACCAAAACAAAGAGAAGAGTTGTATGGAACCCCAGTGAACAGGTCTTAAATTGTTGATTCATTGATGTTCCGCATCCCTCGAGACTCCTCCGAATAAAACAGGAAAATAGTAAAACTTCCTCGTTACTATTTAATGATTGGAGTGGCTTTGAAATAAGCGCTTAATAGCACAGGTTTTCATATCTGGAATTTAGAAATGAAAGTAATACCAGTGAATAAATACGAAGAGAGTGAATATACGCTCTCACCTTTTGGCTTCATCTTGGGCTAACCACCACGTGATATTCATGGCTATTAATAATAACTAACTTAATTGTTTAGTTAACTAACCAACTAATAAGATGAGTAGCTAACCCATAATACCTAAATCTAATAATTTACACAACTACTGTAAAAGATTGATCTCTCAACCTTAAACAATATCAAGTTGACCTTTAATCATACCAATGTCAAAGATTTGAAGCCATCGTTGTCAGGTGCCTGTTTTCAGCTTTGAGAGTGTCCATCCAGGACCCTAGTCTTCTGAGATACTTGATGATTTTTATGTTGAAGAGTTTTTAATGCTAAGCCTTTCTGGTGGTATGTGGGTGGATTATCTAGAAGGAGAATTATATCGCCAGACGTCCATTTGCCCTGTGATGACATTTGAACTGGGTCAGTCCGGCTGACTGCACAATTACCAGGTCCTATTTGACGCTACTAAAATGTTAGCAATGAAATCATCCTGTTGCATGGTAATTCCCTAATATTTGCACAAGCAGTTTTGAGTTAACCAAGCACCTGGATCTAGTTGGAAGCAGGGAGATACTCCTTTGTCCCTGTCACATCGCAAAGATCGTTTTCTGAGATGTGGGTCCCTGGCTGATCCCCACTATGAAAGAATATATGTTATTTGCATGCTGCCATCCCCCTCCCCGTCCTCCTCTAACTAAACTGTATGAGGGGTTGAACCACATTTATATACTAGGAAACTGAATCACCTATTCCTGATAAAAGGAAATGAAAGAAGGAAAAAGAAAAGGAGAAGATTTCACATAAATGACAGTTTCATATAAGTGACGGTTTCATATTGATGATGGTTTCATATAAGTGATAACAATTGAAGTGCCGGTGTGGTGAGAACTAGTGTTTCCAGAATAGCTTCATTGCTAAAGGCTGATATCTGACACTCACATTCTTTAACGTCTTGGCAGCGAAAAGCTGCCTGGCCCCCCTACATCTGCCATCCATACCATTCTGCATATTCAAACCATGTCCACATGCTGGAATTTCGCCAGACAAATTTTTGCGTCTAATACGGGAATGGTGATGTAAATGAAATATCTTCATTCTTGTCATTCGCTCTGTCATTCCCTTCGGACGGGAAATCGAAAGATTCAAGCTTGAGCCCGAGCCCGAGCCCGAACCCGTCTGGGGGATAACTTGAGACCATGTCATCGGGCATTTTCCCGATCAACAGCGATGGAAACAAAGGCAGCTACCGTGAATTGATCGTGTCTTCCATAAAAAAGAAATCGACTGTGTATGCCATTGTCGCCCTATCGCTACTGAATATTGCACTCCTCACAAACACACTTCATCGGGCCCAAAACTCGGTACAAAGAGTGTCAACGGGGCATCCGACATTATCTCCTAGACCACCAAATGTCCGTGCGAATGCGACGGAGTTCATTAAACCACAGAATGTTGTCATCAGCGGCCTTGTGTTCTACGGTCGTCCTGATCGTGTCCAGTCCATGCGCTGCTACGTTGATGTATGTCATTTCCTCGCCGCTAAGATACTGGGAACAAAGGAGGTTGGGACCGGATGGAGATTGAAGGAGGGTGATGATATTCTGAAAGTTATGCTGACCACAAGGTTACTCATACAGCGAAACTTAGTCAACAATGATGGCTGGTTGGATGAAGTTTTATGGGTCGTTAATACCGAGAACAAGGATGACTTGAAGTACCTCGACGAAGTCCTGGCCAGCTCTCCACGATATAAAAAGCTTGACCTTGGAAAAAAGGTCCGGGGACCAGAATTCAGGCAGATATGGAAGCATTTGGAAAGGGGGAAGATATACGTGAAAATAGATGATGATGTGGTGAGTTCGAAAGCAGAAAAGAAACAATTCTTTTTGTCCTCCTCAAAACTAGCTCAGTTAGCATCGTGATTAACCATGCCTTTGCTTTCCGATATTAGGTTTGGCTAGCGGATGACGCCATTCCTCGAATTGTTGACCGGAAATTAAGGCACCCCAATGATTTCGCTGTATCTGCAAACATAATCAACAACCCTCCGTTGAGCTTCATTCATTACCATGTTGGTGCCCTCCACCCTTACTTCCCTGAACTAGAAGGTGGCAAACTATCGGCAAAAGTCAGCAATAATACGTCATGGAAACCATCCGAGCATCCAGATTGGGAAGGGCCAGATAATTTCGAATGGGCCCTTGATGCTCTTCCTCCCGCAAAAGGTCATCGATGGCTGCGTGTCAAAGATGACAAGGCCATTGTCCGCACGCCGGTGACTCACTTGAAATATGAAATGTGGGGCGATACGTATACAAGCTGGGCAATCGCCGCCCAGCAGCATTATTCATTTTTAGAAAATCTGGAGAAGGATCGGCTTGACCTGTACAAATTCAATCTTCCATGGAATATGGATAATGAGCGCATCAGAATTAACCTCCTCGCTATTTGGTCGGATGATATACTTGACAGCAACATAGATAGCTGGCCTAAGGAGCGCAGTGACGAGGAGATGGTTGTTATGGAGCTTCCTAAGATGTATAGCCGACGTGAGTTCCCCGAGATATGCTCGATTTCTCAGTCTATATATCTCTCTCTTTTAAATGCGTTAGCCTTGCCGCTCATGACGACCTTTCACAAATATCTAACATTTGACATTTCTCCAGCTGTTCAAATCGTGGGAGAAGCTCTCGCCGCCCATTTTAACTTCCAGCATCAACCCGGAGTGGCAGAAACAGATCTGTTGAGTCGATACAGTTCTCTCGCCAGGGAACGTTCATGTCTTCAGAAATCAACACCGGAGTCTTAAATCATTCCCAACACATGGCCACCCAACGCCTCGACCAATTTATGCAATACGTCACGTCACGTAAGCTACCACAATTCCAGTCTACCTGCACAAGCAAATGGAACGCCACGTTTCATACAATTGAGTGGGTTAGAGTTGAGCTTACCCTAATTCGGTGCTCCAATTCCGGTGTACACGGAGCCGCCGTAGCCATGTCCTCTATATCCCATAGTTCATAGTTCGTGACACAGAAACATTGTATATAACTTTGCGCTTTAATGTAACGTTAACTTTAATCTCTATCTTATTTTCGGTATCCACACCCAGAGGCTAACCCCACCAGCGCTCTCTCACACATCCATGGCAAAATATGAGGGTGAGTTCATGAAAAGGTACAGTTAAAACTGTATAAACTGTATATGAACAAACGGAACCCCCACGTCTTGACTTTCGTATAATCATCCGGAGAACGGATAACTCCGATCACCGATTCCCCACGTGGCGTCCAGAAACATTTCAAGGTTTGGTACCCGCATATGAACCATGGTTTACATCAGAACTTTAAACCTTAGATCTGAGCTTAAACTCTCGACATGTTAAAAAGGAGCACAGACTGCACCTCATCGCTGAAGAGTAAGACAAATGAAAATGAGGGTCATGAGCCGGCTGATAGCAACCTTTACACGATAAGTGAACGTGAAATTGCATCGTTTCTCTCTGCTCTGCAAATGACCAGTTATCGCAAATTTAACACTTGTCTATTTGAACAGGTTATCCTGTACAACGGGCACCAGACAACATATCAAACGTGACACGACTACGACACCCCTGGCGTTGACATTCTAAATTGTGAATACGAATAATGCCATTACATCGTGAATTAGCCCCGGAATGAGACCCAGTCAGTGGGTTTACCACAGGATAAAATGCCGTTGCCTTCTCCCTCTCGGCATCAAACCTGTTCCCTGTCTAATAGAATCAAGGGGAGGAGGTGACGAGGAGGTGACCAGATCTGAGTCTCATCAATCTGAGAGCTGTCAACTTTCACTCACACATTCTGCAAGTGCTCCTTCTCTTTGGGAGAAAAGGGATATTGATTTGCAACTCTATCTAGCTGGGCTGCGGTAAGCTTGTTGTAATTGATGACTTTACCGTTGGCGTCATAGGAGCGCAGGACGCCATTATCGCCGAAATGACTGAAGCTGAAGCGCTGGGATCCCTATTCAAGCGCTTCACAATGTCCATGGAATCTTCGGATTCGCTCTTGTAATACTGGAGTTGTCAGCATGGTGTCACCACCCGGACTGAAATGGAATGAAGGAGTTTAAAAAAAAAAAAAAAAAATAGGTCACGTGTAACTAACTTACCGGCCATTACACCAGTTAGCACGGATGTAAGGCTGAGAAAAGCCCAGGAGAAATTCATAGTTACGGTTTCGTAATGTGACTTTTTAATGTAACTTTTTTCTTGATGGCAAGTCATCACCGACCATCCACCAAGCGAAGGATCATTACTGGTAATTTCGCGGTTCAGGAAGAAAATCTAATTACCTGGGCACTTGGGTACATTGCCGTACATATGGACTTTCTGATTCCGGATTAGGCCCTGATCTCGCACCTCTGCCTCCTGCTGGCTCGGTTCTGCCTCTCCTGAGACTCACCTCAACCTCAACGGTTCTCACCTGCAGCAATTACCCCAATCCCATATCCTTTTTAGTTTCTGTCCAAATCTGCGCGATTGCGAGATGCAACCGCTCGGTGGCCAAAACAGTAAGGATAGCGTAGCGTCAAAATTTCACCAGTGCCATTGTTATCAGATGCTGCCTGCGTTTGCCCAAGATGGGATAAATTTCCCTTCTGTCTAACAGGTCGACCGGCATTGCCGCTTTTGAGGATTTCATTGAGAAGCTTTCATACTCATCGGATCTCAGCCCTATTGAAGAATTCTTATTTTCCCCTATAATCTTATGAATATATAAAAGTTGATGTATTTAGGGGGATAAAGGTAATATAAAATATATAGCTCTGCGGAACTGAATGCTTTCAGCAGACGCAACTAGAAAGTCAATCGAGTAGAGATATTAATGATTTCCTTAGATAGGATGATGGTTTGCGGGGGCAAGAGAGCACTAATGGTATCAAATTTACAGACACTGGACGGACACTTCCACAGGAAACCTTCTTGTGAGAGACATTGATTAGGACAGAATTGTCAAAATAGCAGAGAAGCAATCGTCAAAATATCAAGCAATGCAGTGTGAGGCTGGAAAAGAAATTGGCCATCTCCTTGTCAACCCAGCCTTTAGTATAAGCTCCACAAAATCAATCAGATATGCATCCCTTTCGATCATGAATGCATGGTTGATGCAACTAACAAGTTAATGAGTCATGAACTTACCAATCAATTAACTGGTCATCCCCTCGCCTGTTAATTAGAATTTTTGGAGACGAGAGAAACCACTATCTCCTGCGCTGCATTAATCTGTGGAACGTGGCGAAACAATATCTCGTAGTGTATAAATTTCCATGAAAGAGAAAAGCCTTTTGGAGACCGCTCTGCTCTGTGAGTGATCAATAAATAAGCAGAGCTGCTATGACTCATTTCAATGTCATAGAAGGCAAAATTTGATAAACGGATTGGATTTGATCTCCCGAGATTTGCAGTTTCTAGGGGGGTAAAAGGCATCAAAACCATTGAAAATAGAACTTATACATGCAAATTCAACAGCAAAATATCCAAGATATGGCTGAACGGAGCCCGGAAGGGCAAACGATGACCGTAATATACCTTGACATTTCAATCCATGGTAGAAGCGTTGTAAATAACTAGGACCAGTTTCTCCAAGCAAAAGGCAATCGAAAATATCGAAATATCCTTATTCCATAGAAGTGAACTGCCGAGCCCCAAGGAAAATCTCAGGAGCCTGGCATGTCCTGAGGTCCCAACTTGTTGTATATAATGAGATGGGATTAATGACACTTTTTGATATCCCTATACGGATAAGGCCGTAGTTGTCAGGTTCAAGAACTCTGCCCCACGCCTACGGATCTCGAAGAAATGATCTGTTTATTCTGCAATGTTTATCGCCTTGCCATTCGGTGCCGAAACATTAGTTAATATCGTACTGAATGAGAAGCGTGAATCGAGCCTGTCCTTACTTTTTTAAACGGCGACTGAAAATAAACAAAATCGTCACTTCATTGCTTCCAGGCATAATTTTAATCCCAGTGTCTCGGATACTTCATGTCTGATAACAAAGAAGTTATCCATTATTGGATTCCTTGATTGTATCTAGGATGGTGGTTATGAAAATTGGTATGTTCTAATGCTGGGTAGGCAAAATAATGGCCAATAAAATGGCGAAGGCGACAGGCAAAAAGCTCCTCACAAATCAAGCTGTGAACTGAAAAGATAAAGCAATACTATAAGTTCTCATGTAAGCCAAAATTTAGTATCTCCGGGTCTATAAATAGGAAAATGGAAAATGGTGAAATCTGTATCAGATACCTGGAAGCATGCTGCTTTTGAGAGTTATAGATGTCCCTTTGGATTCGCCGAAATAAAAGTCAAAAAAAATAAAAAATAAAAAATAAAGAACCTCAGAAAACCAATTTGCTAAAGAAAGAATGAAGTGAGTAGCAAAAGGAAGTGTTTACTATTAAGGGCTAAAATGCCTACGCAGATATCTAGCTGAAACAGCTCAGTCACCCACACGAGATCAACCTGGAGAACGGGAAAAGCCCCACGATGAAGAAATTGAATATATCGGCTACCGCGGGGAACTCACACAAGGGCTGATGGGACTTGAGGCAGCACTTATTTGTTGATACCGCTCTTCCACAACAGTAGGAAGTTCCTGTGCTGGAGAAAATCTACCAGAGTGACTCAGTTCCTCAACCGAATTAAAGCCCTCCCGTGACATATAGGTTCGTTGAGGACCCTGCCTTGAGGTCTGCCTTCGGGTGGGCACTAGTGCAGGTCCATTCGATCCCTCAGCTTCATGAACCTTGCCGGGCAAGGGTAGCGATGGAGGTTTATTCCACTTGCTACGGCCAAGCAAGAGTCCCAGAATGATAATCGAGATGAAGAGAATAGTTCCGACAATTATACCGGATATCTTTGCTGCTTCTGTGTTCTGTTTCTCATGTGGTTTTCGGCTAAGTTCTCCAGTGATCCAAGTTGTGGTTTGCGAAATTATGGGCGCAAGTGGAGCGGTTGGCATGGCTTGGGAAGTGATGGAGGTTGTAGATAGATTCGAGAATTGATTCGTGTATAATAACCCCTGGGAAGTGGTAGATATTGTGGCATCTGGAAGTATAAAAAGGTGAGCTATTGTTCATACATATTAATTACGTGGCTCTGAGGGTATACCTGTAGGCGTGGCGGTTCGAACTTGGATATAGCGATATAGCGTCCAAGACTGCGACGTAACCTGGCAGAGGATTTGCTTCATGGACGTAGGCACGTCGAAGTATTCATAGATAGCCACTGTCGCGCAGTTCGAGCTATGAGCATGGTGTTGTCATATATTGATTAATACCTGCCCAGGATATTTCTAAGATTCCCTGGGAGAGCCACCTTACCAAGTAGTTTTTATATTGTTATCAAAGGCCATTAATCCATTTTTGCACTCCGTTGGCATTGCACATCCTGCCGAATCACGCGTGGGGCAACATCTGGCATATCTACCGGACGTTGTAAAGGATTCACCCCGATTGCATTTTAAAGGCACATCTGTGAGGGATAAACAGGTTAAACACGTATTTTGTCCTTAAGAAAGTTCACTCCGGGAGCAAAACCCATCTTGCCTGTACCTGAAATAGAGCCTGATACCTTGGAGGTATAGTACCCTATAAAATCTGATGGGAAGGTCGTGATCGTAGTGGTGGCGGTACTCGTGATAGTAGCACCAGTAACGAAACAGTTCAAAAGAAGACAAGCGATTGAAACAGACCGAGGTATTCGGAATCGGTCCATTGACCCATTTGCTCCAAATGTATAGAGAATTAGCAGGAATAACC